CCAATTCAGCTCCTGAGGGTGCTGACCCTCCTATCAGTCTCTCTCAGCTACTGTAAAGCATTACACCACACACTCTGTCTAGTGCCCCAACAACCTCCCATCTCCCCTCAAAGCTGTCCTATGCCTTGTGGCAAGGCTCCTAAGGCCAGGAGGATACCTTGCCCAAAATAAACAAGACCCACAAGCAGTATCAAATTCACAATACAGAGCCTTTCCCTCAGGCCTTCCCCTCTATCTAGTTGGCTATCCCAGCTCCAGTCCTTCTGGGCTTATTCATAATTTGTGGCATATGCTGGTGGGAGCTCCTCTCCCCACCACTGTCTGGGCCAGACTGTCCAGCTCCTCTCCTCTGCTTTGAGTTTTATAGCCCATGGCTCCACCCCTTCTGGTTACAGACATCCAGGCCTTAAAGGGGTCTCTCCATTTTTCCCTCTTAAACTCACACTGTCTACCCAGTAATGGGGCTAGGGGATCCCATTACAACGCCACAACACCAAAATGGCAGCCCCTCATGGTGCCAGGCACTGTACAAACACCCAGCATGACAGACTCTGCCTTAAGAGCTTGCTCTCTACAGAGACAAAAAGGTATTATTAGCCTCATTTGGCCATCTGGGAACTTAGGCAGAAGGAAATCATTTGATTTTCAATGGTGAACACAGAAGCTGTGGCAGAGCTGAGAATTAACATGTCTCTTCTGAGTTGCAGCCCAGTGCAGGGGTTGTCAACTGGGGCTACGCGTACCCCCAGGGGTACTTGGGAAGGCCCTAGGGGATATGTGTGGGCAGGCGGGGACAGAGTGCCGCCACCCACTACCCTGCACCACTGCCTCCCAGGAGCAGGGCTGGGGAAGAGGGTGGGGGGGAGGGAGGAGCAAGGCCAGTGGTGCCCCTCTGCGGGTGATGCAGGCGCTGCCCAGCCAGCCAGATGCAAGGGAAGGGGGAAGCTTGCTCGCAGCTGCCACCACCCTGTGCTGCTGCCGCACCCCTCCCCCCCCCGCATCCAGCTAGGGGTATGCTTATTGAAAAAGGTTGAAAACCCCTGGCCCAGCATATAAATCACAAGACTCTCCTTTTAATTTAAGAGATGCTCTAATCCAGCTTCCCAAACTTTTCCTCAGCATGACCCTATCTATGGCCCCATTTCCACAGCATGGCCCCTCACTCCCTGCCCACCCCCCACCCCCGCGACCCTATCTGCTGATGTTGCGTCCCCATTTGGGGTCATGACCCACAGTTTGGGAACTGCTGCTCTAATCTCCAAGATGAGTTCTGTCCCAATGCCCAGAGCTCATGACTTCTGTTGGACCATGGAGACATCTCGTAATTCAGTCCTCTTGGGCCCAGCTACGCTTTTCTCAGACCTTGGATCCTTATATTAATCTATGTATACTTTAATTTGAAGATCATAGAGCTGTCACAGAACTAAATCCTAATAAGGTGACCAAAGCATCCTACCTAGATGATTATGGCTGCAGCCTTCCACTACCCCAATCAACTTACACCAACAGACTAGAAAACAGCATATGCTGCAAGAGAAAAAAGGCAACTAGCAGCACAAGTTACAACACTTTAAAGTACGTCATCATCAGGAAATCTATTATTAGGGATAGTTTTACTCAGGATAACAATATCTTAAAACCCGCTCATCCAAGGTTCTCAAAGTGGCATACAACCTTTAAACAAGCTTAAGGTATACCATCAGTGTGAATCCACTGGATTTAGGGGTTAGCTGAGGCAGAGTGGCTGATCAGCTTGGTCAAAGGTCACACACAGCCAGTAGCATAACTCTAAACAGAACTTATGTGAAATGGCATCCGCTCCTGTCTAAACCTCTTGGACCACAT